CTACCAAAGACAACACGAAAAAATCTCAGCACCTATGAAATAAACACATTACAGTATGGAAAATGCTTTGTACGATTTTCATTCACTCGTTGATACTACACAACTCGTGAATAAAAATCGTACGCGCGCATTTTCCATGAAGTAACCTCTATATCTCAAGCTAGCGAGGAGTCATGAACGAAATAAGGGTTTCAAACTAATTTAAGCTACTTGCCATTTCTATCAATCAGATTAAATCCTTAATCATTAATCAAAAACTCACCGGCAGACCAACTGCACCCTAAAAATGGATGAAAAATAGGAAAAAGTTACAGCTCCTATCAAGTCCTTTCAGAAATTTCATAGACGTACTTTATAATATGAGGGGTCTCACAGGCTGAGATCGAATGTACCGACCGAAAGTAACACAAAAGTAAATGGTCCACTGGCGCATCATTTACTGTTCTCACCGATAACCAAGCAACTGATCCGCAGCCTCTGGGGAAAAGTTGTTTGAGGCATTTAATTATACTTAGACGTTGACTGAATTACTGATGAAGATGTTACCACTGCACTTTCAAACTTAGAAAAAATAGGCAGAACAACTAAGATTCGGAACAAACTAAGTATAGAGCCACACAGCAGCTCGTAACATCTTCGGTGCTGAACATACTAAATTCTTAAAAAGTATTCTCACTTCTAACAGTTATTAAGGACACCGCAACAACCCTTCGTACATTGATAAACGCTACTGATACCATATTCTCGCAGATGATTGTTGTGAACAAAGGCAACTACAGAAATTTGTAAAGAAGCTGTCACTTACCACAATTCCTCTCACTCCCTAGGGAAGAAAAGAAAACACGATTGAGGTCTAAAGATCTGTTTCATCAAATTAAAATTTAGAAATAAGCCAAACATACCTTTAATCCTGAGGTTCCCTTGGAGATTGAAATAAAAAGAAGAAAAAGAAAACATTTTAAGTTAAGGTGTCGTCAAGTATTTTAGTTAAGGCTTAAGCATCTTTCAAGTCCAATGTCGTCTACGCCCAGGCTAAAGAAAATGGGAAATATTGTTGAGACCCATCACTTAATTAACAAGAAAAGCTTCAGTGACACCCTACATTCCTGTAGCTAGAAGCATTTTTTATCACTTAAAGAAAAGGACAGAAAATCTTCATAATAAAGAAGAAATCGTCTTACCGGAATGCCTTTTTCTCCCTGCGACAAAAAGAACGCAAACACAACTGATCACATAGAAACTTTGGTAAATAATAAAAAGGAACATGTTATGATTATGGGACGACCAAATGAGTGCTTATCCATTAACATCTAATATACTTTAACAAATCTGAACTTTACATTAACAAACACTTACCACGTAACCAGTTCGACCCTACAAGCAAGAGAGCAAAGAATAGGTGAATCATATTTTTGGAGGAGTTGCGACGCCTTACTTCGCACATATGTCATTAACCTCTGCAGTAAATGGTTTGACCTTAAACGTAACATTTATCGTATAATGTAAGACTAGAGCTTAAAAGAACTGTTTTCGATTCAATTTTTAATCCCAGAGTCAGACACTAAACATATCCACATTCCATAATATTCTGCAGTAAAATAGGGTAAATAAAGATATTCGTATTGGAGACTTCATATTTGTCACATCTTTTACCTGATTTCCTTCTGAACCTGGGCTGCCTCGAAGACCGGACATTCCAGGATCGCCCTACAATTCATTGCAAACATCAGTTTCCTTACAGGGACATTTAAAATTCTAAAATCGTAGTGACCAAACTTGGGCTAAAAACACTGAAATGCAATTTTTTCTACTGTACAAAAAGCATATAATAATAATCATGAAATTAAAAAAAAGGTTTAAACAAGTAGGAAAGAATCGAAACAGTCAAGAAATGTTTTTTAAGTGACTCAAGTATAAATCTAGCTAATTATTGTAAAATTTACCATTTGTCCTGCATTGCCACCTCGACCTCGATCTCCACTGACGCCAACAGAACCCTGTCTTCCTTTCGGTCCAACAGCCCCCTTATTCCCAGGAATACCTCTCTCACCCTATAACAGCGAAGAAAAACATTCAAATCAAAGTCTCAGGCGCGGATTAGTCCTCTCAGCTATGTAAATATCAAAAGCTTACCCTCTCGCCCCGCATTCCCGGGTCTCCCTGCGCACCCCTTTCTCCAAACAGTCCCTGTCAAAAAAAGGTAGTTTTTGATAATAAACTGCATAATTAATATCCTCATCTACTTTACATCTAACATCCTCATCTAACATTCCTCAACCTCAAAATATTATGAAAAATTATGTACATATTGCAGACCAGATAATTTAATGTCCAGAGTTTCTCAGCCCATTGGCCCATTTTTACCTCTGCACCTATCGTCCCCGTCTCTCCTAATGGTCCGAACAGTCCTTTTTTTCCCTTTGACAATAAAAACAAAGAGAAACAAAAGAAAACAACGTTTACGTGGGGATATAGTATATATCTGATGTAAGTAGTTCAATCAACGTTTGTTATTCTTAAACATAATTTTGCTTTAATCTTAAAACATATAAAAGGGGGATAAAATATGCCAGATATAAGGTTTGCCAAATAAATTACCTGTTGCCCGAGGGAACCTGGCATTCCCCTTAATCCAGGTGGGCCAACGCTTCCCTAAAATTGAAATGACAAAACATAACAAACAATGTCTTATAAAAAACCGTTGTCATTTACTATGATCTATCACTATCGATTTTTTTAGGACGTAAAAATGTCACTTGTAAAGTTCTGTAATCTAGGACTTTCGTATGGAACCTTCGGACTTACCACAGCGTGTTTCACAGCATGAGTGCCGAAAAAAATTACAATTCTAAATTCTACAAATGGTAAAACACTTTAAAAGACTATGACACATTATCCGCTTTTCGGTTGTGTGTATACCTCAGGCCCTAGTTGTCCAGAGGGTCCCAGACTTCCTTGGTCGCCTCTCTCTCCCTGGAATATGATAAATACACTATTATGAACGTCATTGACGGGACACTAGATGGTATTCTGATGCTCACCCACTCCTGCTCTTCCCTCATAGTATAATACAAATTGGTTTCGCTAATATGGCGTGGATGAAGAGCTTTTCATCAGCTACTTTCCATCTCAAGAACCAAACCACCTTGCAACCAAGTTTTCCTTACGCATCCTAAACACAGCTCTTCTCCTGTAGATCTTGGACACTTTTGCCTATTTTTCATTATAGCCTGGAAAAGTGATTCCCTCAGAGCTTGAAGCCTGAAAATAGAGCTCGAAGCTCGGAGAAATCAGCAAATTCTGAAGGTGAGAAAAGCGCTAGCAAGGAGGAATGCACCATTGCGCTGTTCAAGAAAGTCACCATGTCACGGTTTGTTTCGCGTTTTACACAATCAGGCCTTCAGTAAAACGCAAACGCGTCAACTTGTAATATTTTCATGCAATAACTTTGCGTCTATTATGAGCAGCAGTTTATTTTTCTCATATTTACGGCCCTTATGTGAGAGTTAGTTGCCGCACTCGCAAACACAACACAATATTGACTGACTGGATTGATCGGAAATTAAACGCTCAAAGACTGGACAAAACATGAGATGGTACCTTTTCACCGTTTTTTCCATCATCCCCTCTTCTACCCGGGTTTCCTTTACCTCCCTGAAAATAAAAAAAAAATGACTGTCTGTAAGTTAAGAAGGAATCTCTCATGCTTGGCATGCAAAGAACTTAACCAAAAGGAGACGAAAAGTGGGTAGTGGAAATGCTTACGGTTGGTCCTTTCATCCCTGGCTCTCCACTTTGTCCTTTCGATCCACGATGACCCTCAAATTGCAAATCAACAATCTTGTCAGTAAAGGCAAACTATATCACCCCAAAAAAGGATTAAATTCAAACTACCTTAAGTCCAGGTGAGCCATTCCTGCCTTCCTTTCCCTTTTTCCCCCGCTCACCCTGAAAATAAATCAAAATAAAATGGTGGAATTCATATGATAACTGCCATCATAAAAATTATAGAATGAGCCAATGATAAAACACACTTGGTGGGTTAGCGCAAAATACACACAGAGTCGAAAACTGTTTTTATTGCTACAATGGAGTCTTCTAACTTTTGAATAAAATGGTAAACATGATGTAAGCAAAATACCGCTCCTCCAGGATCACCGATAAGTCCACTTTCACCGAGAAGGCCCGTAAGTCCCTACAAATACAAAAAACGTTAAAAAGATGTGATGTTTAGTATCGGATATTTCATAAACCGGCAATTGAAGTAGTTCTACCTACCCCAAGACCAATGACTCCAGTATCTCCAGGAGAGCCTGGGGCTCCAGATAAGCCCTGCAAATGAAAGTAAAAAGGTAAAGGTAAACGAGTCTTTAAAACCTACGGAGTGAAAGAATTTCTCCTACACATAAAAAAAAACGGTTTCACAACTAGGCACTAGGAACTTTACCTGACCTCCTGTCGAGCCTCTAGGTCCTTTTTCCCCGCGTGGCCCTGCAAATCCCTGAAAGAAAAAGAAACAAAAACTCACTTTTGCATACCTTTACCTTCAACATAATTCTTTCATTGTCTTTCCTTGTACAGGACCGCCTAGTCCAATTACAAATAGACCCATGTTGACCTGATCAGTAATAGATTATAGATGAAATCAAAATGTGGTAAGAATGAAAAAAAAAAAAAACAAAAAAAAAAAAAGGGCACACGAGGTGCGAGACACGAAGAAGTTATTACTTCACTTTGACATCATCTATGATCTATTACTATATACAGACCCACGGCAACATGCAATTCATTCGCTTTATATTAAAAAAACAAAATTTTGTCTCATAGCGTCTCATCTACGAGTCTGTACTCCGATGGATCATAAGTAAGAACCTATCAAAATTCGCGTTTAATTCAGCTTACCGTATAAAAACATTTAGTGCATGTACTTAACATTAAATAGCAAGGATCAAATTGAAATCCGAGGGCATTTTGATGGGGTTGTTATAATCTGTTATATATCTACCGATACTCCAGGCACGCCAAGATCACCAGGCAGTCCTTTCTCACCAGAGGAACCCTAGAAGTATACGAAAAATTCAAAGAAATTAGAAGGGAAGGTTGCTCATACTCAATAAAGAAGAATATGTTCCGTAGCCAATATTCACCATTCAACTTACAAGTAGCTCTCCAACCTAATGCACACGAAGGTCGCCTCCAGCACCCCACCCAATTGTTTCAGTCTTCATTCCCATTCATAAATACAAATTTTCGCTCAATTTTAAATGTTTGACAATTGTTCAGGTATGTTGCCTTATGGGGCTAATTCACTCTAAATTTCAACATGAACTATTTGGAACTTCTTCCGACAAATATCTCATCAGGTCAAATACCACTTTAGAAGCTGAAAATCTCTTGGATAAGCTCGAATTGAGAAAGGGTAAGGAGTATCGTTGAGACTGAGATAGTTTCTGTCTTTCCTGTCCAGCAAAACATTGTCACACCAGAGAAAACCTTAAAACTTAGCCAAAAGCGAAGACCAACCGCTCTTCCGTTTTTTCCAGAAAATCCTCTATCTCCCTTCTCTCCGTCTTCTCCCTAAGAATAAATGAAATAAGCTGAAAGTCAGTTTGAAATGCAGCCAAACATAATGCTACTATTACCATAACACTGTGCATTTCTCCAGATGATTACGTTACAACATCACAAGAATAATGTTTTTTACTTACCGTCTCCCCGATTTCGCCTTCCTCTCCCATTTCTCCACGAGCACCACTCTCACTATTCTAGAGGATAATGATATCAAAGTTATTGTTGCGGAAAACTCAACTAAAAGAATATAACGTTCAATTTTCTTCATGGTTGTAACAGTAGTAGGTTTTTGAAATTTCCTGATTTTTCCCAAATGTAAAATTTCCCTGACTGACTGAACTGACAATTTCAGAAATAAGTCCTGATAATGGTCCCCAATCACCCCTAACAGCCATCCTTTCCACCCATGAATTTATGCTTTTAGCAAGTCGCCGCTTACAGTGTACAGTGTCACTCGTTGTGTTACTCGGTGTTAAGTTACGAGAAGAACCGTTGAGAATTTGAACACGTTACAACGAATAGTATGGGGAACGAAATATGGTCGATTTACAACGATAAATATTTCGAAATATGAATAGTTTACTCGTAAAATCAAATTTATCGTCTTAAATCGACCATTTTTCCTGACTTTAAAGAGATTTATTCTCCCCTGATTTTTTCCTGACCTGTGGAAACCATGCATCTCTTTCACGAAGATAACCAAGAGTTAATAAGTATCCGTTTAGAGTTTTGTGTGGACTCCGAATCTAATTTTTTGCGATACACCTCATATATTATTGTCCGAGCTAACCTTGCCTTTAGTATTAGAAACTAGACATTATTTCTTTGTACCAGGGATACAATTCTCTCAAAGAGTTTGTAACCATAAAATGCCAGATACCTACCACTGGGCCCATGTCACCTGTGGCACCTGGATGTCCTCGTAAACCCGGTGTTCCCTATCAAACACAGAAATAGAAAGGTATTACGTAATTATATGGGGAATATGTGCACTGCTAAGTGAACTGATCTTATGAAGTTCACAAATCTAAAGACTGCACCCGCTACCTTTTATGATTACTCCTCCAAAACGTTTTTGAAAGCAACAATAAGTGCTGGTGTACCCACTACTATCTTTACAGTCTCTGTTCGCATCCCGCATTTTGGCCAATTCAATCACTTCAATTTTGTTCTTGGACAATTTTCACTGATCTTAGAGAGATCTTCCTAACTGACATGATACAACACACTTATCTGCAGAAATCTTATGGTTTTATCAGTATTTATGTTTTAGTTATTTTCTTCTCGCTTCGACTAAAGCGTTACATTGGTCAGTTTTACCCAAATCACAAAATTGTATTCGCTTAAACATACCTCGTGACCCTTTATCCCAGGATCTCCCCATAAACCAGCAATGCCGTCTTCGCCCTTTGGAAGAAACATCAAGGAAATAAAGAAGTTTGTGTTAGTGTAGTTTTGTATCTATTTATTTTCATTTTTCTACGACAGAGAAGAAACAGCAACATTTAACTGACCTCTGATCCCTTCATTCCCTGAACACCACGTAAACCAACAAGTCCTGGTTGACCCTGAGGCGAAAGAACAATACCAAATCAAACGCTAAGTCCACGGTTAACTTGTAGAATAAAACAAACCAAACTTAATTCGTGAAAGAATTATGACATCATATTACCTCTTTACCCAGATTTCCTCGAATTCCAGGTACTCCATGTTCTCCACCAGTTCCCTTTTTATATTGAAATCCAAAGGTTTAAGAATGAACAACAACAAAAACAACAAATACAAAAAGAACAAACAAAACAAAACAAAGCAAAACAAAAGCCAACCAAAAGAAACAATGTTATTACAAAAAACTACTTACTTTTGGCCCTTGATCTCCTTGAGGCCCTTTTGGTCCTGGTGAACCTCTCTCACCCTGACAGAAAACCAAAACAAATACATCTAGTTTTCTGTCCTATAGGTATTGAAATTGTTATCTCTATTAAAAAGCATGAAGGCTCTGACTCTAATCATGATATTTTTCTATAAGCCGCATAATTCATAACGTTAATCTCTTGAAGAGGAACAGCGATACTAAAGTGACTAACAAAGGATTTTCAACAGGCTTGCAAACCAAAAGGAAGTAAACAATAAATGCATGACATCAACGGAAACGACAAAGATTAGCTACTTTTACTCCCTTCAACAATAATTCTTAAATAAACCCTACATGAAAATAGCCAAAAAATCTCTTATTAACAGCATATGGAAACGTTTTTGTTTGGAAGCATAAATGGCTGAGATGACGACAGTCAGAATTTGAATTTTGCCTTTAACAGTAGATGCTAGACTTCCACAATATCTAATTTCTGAACTGTACCTTAAAACCTTTTGTTCCCTTGGCTCCTTCCAAGCCAGGTGGTCCTGGTGCACCCTATCGGTGAGACCAAAACTATTGTGATAACAAATGTCCATGACCAAGATATCCTCGGTTTTAACTCTTCTCTCTTATGTCAATTCGATACTAAAAATACTCAGGAAGAAGGCCATTAAACCATTGGATAAAAAGACCGCTATGACGATAGACGCTCTATACGAAGACAATTTAACCTCGACCCAATCAAGCAAACATAAAATATCTAGTAAGATTCGCATAATTAAGTTCCAACAGCACATATCAACGACAGATACAATATTTCTTGAAACTAAGCTCACAAGATGTATCTTACTTAATAATTTGCGCTACTGTACTCAGTACAAATTAAACAACACTTTACTTACAAAAGGTCCCTGACTTCCTGGTGGACCTTTCTGTCCAGCCAAACCACTGTCTCCCTATTGAGATATAATAGCATTGAATCCACTAAGACAAGTCAACGAGGATTATATGTTTTTAAAAACTAATTTCAACAACAAACCTTTCCACCGGCGGTTCCAGGCAGTCCTAGGAAGCCTTGTAGTCCATCATTTCCCTTAAAGAAGAGATATTTTTTGAGAGTTAAGGATTGATTGTTTTAACGCTACGCTAAACAACATATCTGTTAGTTCCAGTATAACTAACCTGTTCTCCTTCACTCCCTTCCAGGCCAGATTTTCCCAATGGACCAGGTGGACCCTACGATCATGGATCTATAGTCAATATCGATAGTTACAGTATTACAACAATTGTCTGATGACTCAACTACAAAATGTGCTTAAACTTTAAGAGTGGTTGTTTATCTTTAAAAGTTGACTTGGTAATGAAAACACCAACTGTTTACGGAAAAAAGCACGTAACAACAAGCACATGCAGTTTACCGCAAAGAGGAAATTGTTTACCTGAGGCCCAGCAATGCCCATAACCCCTTGAATCCCTCCTGAACCTTTGACGCCCTGCAAAATACCGTCGGAAAATCAAAATCGAAAGAAAATTATGATTCCTTCTCTCTCTTGAAAAACAATATATGACTTTTTCTAGAAAAAAATATACGGATACCAATACCTACAATCAGAGTTATGTATCTTGGTGTATGGCTATGAAAACATTTGAGAGTTTTCTTCATAAAAGTCACTTTCCATAATGAAAAACTCTAGGATCCACTTGATAACAAAGTAGCGAGGTATATTGGTACTTTTACTCACTGGGTCACCGACGAGCCCTTCACCCCCTTCAACACCATCTGGCCCCTGCGAAGAATATTTTCAAACATCAATTCAAAATTCTTGAAGAAAAAAGAAAGATCTACCAGTCCCAAACAGGCAGCCAATTTCACTTGAAGCTTCACTTCCCTAACGATTAGTTCATGCGTTAACGTGTGTTCATCGAGATTTGACAGCACGCTGGATGTTTGGAGTGTACGAAAGATGCCTAAGAGATGTTCGAGGCGTGGCCGAGAGCATCTCTTGCGAGAGATCTCCAAATTTCTCAAGAGATTCAAATCTCAACGACCATAGGGCGATGCATGAGCCACTCCTTACGTGAAATGTCGTCGGTATGATTTGCGATCTAGCACTGATTTGTCCAACTTCATTATGAACGAATCCACGAATGTTGAATGTCTCCCAGATTTTAAAGCATTGTCTCTGTAGCTGTCGCGCTTACTCTGACTACTTTCAAGGTGTAATCTCCAGTCATGACACGCTACATGCATATTTGGAAATGAAGTTGCTTTTCCCTATACACCGCAATAATTTCAGGGAATGCAACTCCTGTGGTGTGGATTCAATTAAGGTCGATTCTTGGAAAGTATTTAGAGTCTGCATGTTTCTTTTATAACTCTTAATTCATTAATCAGTATTGTCAAATTACATGAGTAACATATTTTAATGAGCTTACAGAAACCTGGAAGGGAGTCCAAAAACTTTATGCAATTGCAAGTCGGACTCTTCTTTATCTTTTCTCCCTAGGAGAGACAAGTGAAGACAAGTTAAGCATTAAGAGAGACTGGTCCGAGAGGAGAAAAGAGGAGAAGAGTCCGATTGCCTCTTTACATGAGATGCCACAGGAAGATGTTGGCTTTGAATCATACAATCTGCTCCTTTTAAAGATCTACCAAGTTGCGAAAAAGAAGAACAAATTAAAAAGAAGACCAGATTTTATTAAACTTAGCATCTATCTAATTAATAGTAACGTCATTTCATAAGAGGAGTCCTGTGGCAGCTAACACGTAAAGAGATGTTACTTTTGCGACGACTTAGCCTATTGGACTTGACAAAAGTAACCGTCGGAACAGACTTCGTATAGGAGGAAAGTCAAGGCTGACATGCACCAACCAGGAACACACCATGATAGGGTTTTATTACTTTAGGCATCAGAGAGATACCCTACTTTAAAATATTAATATGACAATCCTGCTACACTAGCTGTTGTAAAGCAAAAAGGATAGGCTTGATTAGTTCCAATGGTTTGCATCCATTCATCCAGGTGCTTAGCTAATCATTTCTAGTTATTTATTAATTAGTTCTTTTCTCACCGTAATTCCGTGCGTGCCTTTAGTTCCAGGATGACCAGCAGCGCCCTAGGAGTAGGCAGTCACAAACAGATACAACCACAATGTAACATACTGTCTTAACAAATATCCCATGAATATCATTAAAAGGCAGTTGAGTCTAGAGTAACGTCTTACGACCTCTTTTGCTACCTATTTTCATATCGATAAACCTTTACCAATAAGCAGATTGACGAGCTGTTATAGCTATGTATGAACACTCCACATACAGCAATTCCCGATATCTTACCAGTTTTCCAGGCTCTCCAATTTCTCCACGACTTCCCTTTGGCCCTAATTCACCCTAAGATAAAAAATGAAAATAATTTTTTTTTTACCTCAACTGTGTTTTTAACTGTTTTCGTTTGAAAATAGAAAACAGCAGAGTTATAATAACTTAAGCACAAGCAAAGAGTTGAAGGGGGCACTAAATAGAGGAGTATACACGAAGACAGATCCAATGATATATATATATATATATATATACATATGTTTCTAAAGAAAGGTGGAATACTAAAAGGTAATTTGCATAAAATCACCTGCAATCCTTGGGGCCCAGCTTCTCCTACTGATCCAGGTATTCCAGCTGGACCCTATTGATTCAGATTTTGCGGCCATTAGTTTTTAAGTCAGACTTAATAAATTGCTTCTAAAATACCTCCAAAGAAATATGCGGAACTGTGCAACTCTAACTCGGCGCGCTCTTGCCACAGTCCAATTCAAGCGCCAGCAAGTCACCATTTTTAAATTGATAAACGGCATACATGTTTAAAGACCGCAGTCCTAGAGGTATTCAGATGTTTGAGATCCAGCAACTGACATAGAAAATTTCTTACATCCTCTCCTTTTGGGCCCTGTGCTCCCTGATTGCCAGGCTTTCCTTCGATACCCTATGGACACCACATACAACAACAAAATAAAAGTGAAAAAAGTTGCAGAGCTCGCTAAAAATCGTTAAAATTCAAGCACAAATCCTAACTTCCTCTTCGTTGAACAAAACAAATAAATTCCATTTTTGCCATGAGTCAGTAGTCCACAACCAGTCCCATCTCATACACCGCGCGCTAACATAATTTTTTTCTCTGTATATATATTTTTTTTGACGAACTTCGCCGAAAAAGAGGGACGGCTTGTAGTCTTAAGAGTCTGATAACGTCAGAATATGGTAGAAACATCTTTGACACACTCAGCAAAGGGGTTTAACGGTTCTTACCATATTTTCTATATCTTTTGCTGAAAAGAAGCACGGCGGAAAGTAACCTATTTGCGACTTTGAACAGGTTTGTTTTGGTTCCTAGGTATCATTAACTTACCAGAGGCCCTGGTTTTCCTATTACGCCAACTGTGCCATTAGGACCACGACGTCCCTGAAATCAAATGTGCAAATCATGAGTTTAGAGATACAAACTAATTACAATTCAGTGATAGTGAATTCGACTTGTTGATTTGAGTAAAATTGTTCTTCTTAAAAAAATTTTGTCACCGGATTCTTAAAACTAACAGAAAATTTAAACTTAATACCGGAGGTCCTCTTAATCCTGGACTACCAATAACTCCTTGGACACCTGGTGTTCCCTTGGAAAAATAAAACTTCGTGTCATACGAGAGTTCATAATAAGAAGTAATTACATGAAAATGAACTTTCTAATGATTATTGCAACAACTTACACCACTTTAAAATCTGAACTCTTATATCGATGTCAGGAATAGAAAAAAAAAACGATAACAAAAATATTCTAAGTACTTTGCAACTGTATTTTCAGTAACAGGGGTAAAATAATAGAAATGAAATTTTACGTATTGTGTGGTATTTTAACACTTAAAGGAATTAACCACCGAGCTATGAAAGTATGATTACCGTACGTTTTGTTCGTAATATTTAGTGTAAATATATGCCCTGACTCTTAGCTGTTCTTTAATTTTAAGGGCAATAAAATGCAATTGAAACTTATTTCTTCAACCTGAGGTACATATATCTTATTATCAGGTGTTAAAAATGCTAAAGATTTGTTTTTTAAGCATTTCACAAAATTATTATCATTTGGTCTCACACTAACAAGTTCCTTTTTTGCCAACATACCAGTGGACCCTGTGGTCCTGGTTCTCCAATCCTTCCAGATGATCCCTGAAAACGAATACGTTCATAATACAAAATGAACACATGTCTAAAGTAAGAACATGAAAGGGGAACTTTAAATTGTACAAAATTGGGCACAGACATGAATACTATTAAATTTCAAAATCACATTTTACCTTATCGCCATTTAAACCATTGTAGCCCCTTCTTCCTTTCTTCCCAGAGTCTCCCTGAGCAAACAGTGAAAAAAAAACATTATATAGGCTTATAAGTAAATGCCTTGTTGATAGTTTGCTCTCCATTAAGTCCAAATGTGATGGCTTGCTCTGCAGTTAATACAGTTCTTTTGTATGAATTTAATTTTCTGAATTTGATAGAGTACAAACATGGCTTTTCATGCTCCATCCTTCAGTGTTAGCTAAACACCCCAGATTGGACATATGCTGCTGAGGACTAACATAGCTTTCAAGTGCACTATAGCAGATTCCCATAAGTTTTTATTTTCAGATTATCACACGTGCTAGCAAACTATTAAGCAGAGAAATTAATGTTTTGTCTCATGAAGAAACTTACTCTTACTCCACGTTTTCCATGGAAACCACGGCGACCCCTGTCCCCCTATACATGGTAATTTATGTTATCAGTAGTGGTTTATGTTCAAATAACAAGACAGATAGCAAATAAAAAAGTATAAGAAAGCTTAAATACTCTACCTTATCTCCCTTGTTTCCTTTGGGGCCATAAAATCCAAGTTCACCAGAAGAACCCTTCAAATAGAATTATCCTTTTTTACATTATAGATACATGCATAATTTGACAGAAGAACTAACATATGTTTGACCATGTAGCCATAAAATTCTGTACAGGTATAACTGCTTTAACCTTAAAAATTACAATTTCCTCAATTGTGATTGGTTTAAAAATTCCAACTTTCCACTAACTCACTTGAAAAGTTGTTATTGGACAGTTCAATAAGCCAATCACATTCAAAGTTGTAGTTTAAATCAACCAATCACATTCAAAAATGTAGTTTAAATCAAAATTTTCCCTTTCTTTTATAACTTGGCTATTCTTTTTTTCCTTGGAAATCACAATTTTTATGATTAATTGGTAATAAGACTTCATGTTGTCCAATTTGGTCTGTAATCTTACTTGTGATAAACAAATCACTCATATGATTACAGACCAAATTGGACTCCAATCAGTCTGAGCACTATTACAAACTAACAGAAAGATCAAGGTAGGAGTGAATACTTAATAACTCAGGAAAGATTAAACAAGGTGTTATAAGTTGAAGGGATTTCCTCTCATTACCACTCAGTTTCATTTGAGTGCTAGGAATAAGACAACAGTTATCAAACAAGTGAATGTTGACTTGCAATTCAAAATGTTAGGCTGAGCAAACTTACAATTTGAGATCAGAAGCTAATGTAAAGTAAAAATTACTAACCTCACTGCCTTTCTGTCCAGGGATTCCTGGTTTACCTAGCTTTCCAGGCATTCCCTGAAGGTATAACATAAATCATGTCATTACATGGCAAGGTAAATCTGAGTGTTCTGATTGGTTCTTACTAAGTACATATTTTACCAAACAGACAGTTTCCACCCAAATTGTTATAAACCATGTAATTTGGTCGTGAAGGCCAGAAAATTCTAAGTAAAAATGTTTGGTGAGTGCCCTATAAACTTGCTTGCTTGAGCCCTGCTGAGGAATAATGGCCCTCTGTTATTCTTGTGGGGACCTCTTAGTCTTTAATGCCATAACCAAGGGCCAATATTCCCCAGTACAGCCCTCATGCTTGATTAGTGAGAAGTTATTACTGCTTTGCTTCTTTTTTGTGTTCCATCAACACAAATAAAATTAACCAAAGTTTTCAACACAAAACAATGCTAATGTCAATTATGTGCAAACCAATACACTTTCCACATGCACAGAATTTTAATAGTATGTCCTCAGCGCGTTGATCCAAGTCCAATAAGGCACAACGTGCAGAGGTGTGCCTGAGGTCATGCACCCACACATTGAACTGAAAGTGAATGAGTTCAGACTACCTACCTTGTGACCAGGAAGTCCTGCTGATCCTTTATGCCCAGGATCTCCAGGAGGACCCTGTCAAAGGTTATAACATTCTTCAACATATGACATTTTGTTTTGCCAATCTTATAAAGTTTTCACATTCCTTCTGCCTCAGTTCTCCCCATGTATTTGTAACTAGCTAAGGATAGGTGATTTGCTCACTAACCTGTGCTCCTGGAGGACCATGTGCACCTCTGGATCCCACATGACCTGGAATGCCCTTTAAGTGATGATAAAAAAGAAATTGAAATAGTTAAAAATTATGTGAAGTGTATTAAAGTCTCTGTCTGATGGTGAGATTTCCTTGGAATGACAGACACAAGTAATTATTTTAATGATCTTAAACTGACTTGCGTACTAAAGATTGTTAGATTTGTCTCAAGACAAAATCAGCCCTAGCCTCTCTCCAGTTCAACAGTTTATAGCCACTTGAGGTTAGGTAGACAACTGTCCGTACATTAGGGAGTGCTAAAAATTTATTGCTAATACATAATTAGGACTTACCTATGCATGAACAAACATTAAACAATTCGTAACAATTGAGAACTTTATAGAAACAAATAACTTGAGTCATTTTCATCATTGTTGGAATACTATAACAACAATTATGGTGATAATTGAGCATCTGTGACATATGTGCAGCATATCAATAATGTTTGCACAAAATGTGTGGTATGTATTATTCTTACAATAGTTGTGATCCTACAAATGATAAAACAAAGCAATAAATGAATTGCCTAAAAAAAAGTTAGAATTCTTACCTTATGGCCCTTTTCACCCTCCTCTCCTTTGGGGCCAAGTGGACCTGGATTTCCCTATGACATAATGGTTGGTCAAAATGAAGGTACCTCAAAAAGAGGAAAGGGTTAAAATACCCTGAAAATTTTAAAAATATATTTTTGCAAAGAAATGGTCTTTCCAAAACTTAAAAACAGTACTTAGTAGAACTTCATGAATAATGACTACACATTAAACACATCTCAAAAGTGCAGAAATCAATTACAGATATTTTGTTTCTTCTCAAATCGAGCCAGAGAAGTCATGACCATGTAGTCCCAAGGTAAAGTGTTTCAATTACCCTTTACCTTTTTGCCTTTCATGCCACTGCGCCCAGTACTTCCTCTGTTTCCCTATAAATTTAACAAACAAAAATGTTAAAAAACTATTTACGGCAAAATAAACTCTAACTAGCAATCCTTATCAAAGTAGTGCACTATTTAGTACCCATTTTGTAAGTAAAAAAACTAAAGTGTTTCAACAATTAAACTCTGTAAATTATATGCTGTAGCTGTATATAGGAACAAAGTATATTTCCTTCATGTCTGTTTTGTTTGGAGTGATATGGAGTGATTGTTCTATGTACTTCCTCTTAAAAAATGATAGCTACTAATTTACCAAGTGCATTTTACTTTCAATGAATTTTGTTTTACCTTAGCTCCTCTTTTTCCATGGTTTCCTCCTTCTCCTTGCTTTCCACGATCACCCTATAATAATGATGAAACAAATATAACTTACCTTTGCACTTGGGCCATAATTCCAAGTGAAAAAGGCTTGGTTTGTAAATTAAAGTACAGTCCTTAAACTCTTTTAGCAAGAGATATATGTAGTTGTTGGGAATATAGCTCTTTGTACCCTAGGTTTCTTTGCAAGCTGTGAATATTTTCCACACCTCTCCTTGCTAAGCTTGACTATAGGCTTAGGTATCCACCTGCCAATTGGCATCACATGCACAGTGGGCTGAATGGAACTCTGTCCTAATCTCATTATTGATCTTACCCTACTGTAGCATGTGCTATACATGACATGTGATTTATTCCTTTGTTATGGTTGATGTGCTTTTGACCAGGTGTGGTTCACTGCATACATGTTACTGGATTATCCATCACTTGCTCAATGTGTTGCTACCACCCCTCCAACAATTACTTTGCTATGTGTTTTGCTGCCACTATTGTGCACTGTCAAACCTTGGTCCCAGTCACTGCCAAATTGTGTTTTTTTTTGAGATGTGTGAGTTGTTTGCGTAATTATCAATCACAAAAATGCTCAGTATTTCCTGTCATAACTTACCAAAAGAAACAACAAAACTAAATGACGCATATTAATCAATGAATTAATCAATATTAATTAATTTTTCATTTTATTTAATTAATCATATTAATCAAAGACACTTTTCTCTCTGGTCAATTTATATCTCCAAGGAAGTGTATCACAAACACTGAACAGGAAGGCTATTCGTTTTTACTGCAAAATATGGGTCAAGTTGTTGTTATTCTTAAACACTTTGCTATGAATAAGAGAATAGAGAAGAGATGTTTAATGTCTTCAAACATCATACAATTTCAATTGCATTGGATGACCCTTATGAAATGTAGATAAGAAAAAATTGTGTAATTGTTTTGTGTTGTGAAATTCACTATGTTTCTCTAACAGCTTGCTGATAAAAGTTATAAACCCCCGTCCTTAAATGTGAGCCATTCCAGGCATAAGCCCTTTCAAAACTCCTTAAAAGTTACACCATAACACCCAAGCACTACATCTGAGATCTTTTGTTAAACACTTGCCTGATATCCTTGAACTCCCCTGGAACCTGAGGGTCCTTGAACTCCCTGTAGAGTTAATATGATTGAATATCAATTAACTATTATCATGCTCACCATCATGGTGACCATCAATGTCATGGTAATTTTTTGTCACACCCATGAAATATTACTTATAATTAACCCCATTTTAGCAATCCATCTCTCCTTTTCAAGAGTGATTTTGGTGCTCAATTGACAAAATATAAACCATCTCAATCTTCTTCTTTTCATTTTGTTTAATATGTAAAATTTATTCAATTATTCTTGTGCACTTCATTTCTCACCAACCCTACCATTATCTTTTCTTAGGGAAGGCAACAAGTTATGCTTCAATTTCTCCCCTCCATTACTCACTAACACAGTATGTATTTGCCATACAATTTCAATCCTTCCCAACTCCATCACCTTGCAGTGTTGTTGAGCAAGGCTGAACAACACCAACTCCCACCGTGAAAAGAATAAATCCTGCATGAATGCAGGATTTATTCCTAGCTGGACTGATCTAATATTAAGACTGACATGGAGTAAAATGATGAAATAAAAGGAAAACAAATTTCTAAAATAATACTTACATTTATTTATTGATTTAGTAAACTTACACAGTTCAGATCCCAGATGTATTATAATAATAACTTACAGGATTCCCAGATGCTCCAGTCAGACCCATTCGTCCACGGGAGCCTTGAAACCCCTATCAATTCATGATTTGAGATTAACAAAAAAACAGTGCAAGGCCAGTCCAGGAGTACATGATATTGTAATTATTTTAGTTTTCTTGAAATCATTAAAAAAAAATTAAATAAACTAGTCAGCTGGAGATTTACCATATTGACCAAAAAAGTCTATCATGTATAATGACCCACAGCATTTTGTGGACACTGCACATGATTTTTAGAGAGCCATATGGAAATTAAAACATAGTGTTTTTCTGACTCTGTCAACTTATGGTGAACAGAAAATCACAAAACAGAAGTGCAAACAAAATTGATAGTGATACAGATAATCAAACAAAAAAGTTTGAAGACTAAAATTCAATATCTAGCTACCAGCAGAGCTGATACACCCTTAGGCACAACATACTAGAGACTTACTTGAGGTCCTGGATCTCCAGGTTCACCAACATCACCAGGGTCTCCCTAAAATAGAAATTGATAGACTAATATTTATAAATGTTTAAACAGACTGATGTAATTTTGACTTTATATGTGGCTTATCAGCTGATTCCCTTTTGTTAAATGACATCTTACAATAATAACTCAGTAGTTTCATTTAATAGGCCAAAGGTCAGATTGAGAAAAATATATATATATCCACAAAGTCTACCTAAGTTAGTCAATCATAAGTGTCTTTGAAATCTAGGAAAACAGTGACAAGTAAAATATGGAAGTTGAAGTGTGGATGTCTTGTATTCTGCAGGATACACCTTTATTGATATCTGACGGGCTATAC